ATATATATATATATACATAAAGAAATGTTTTATTTTAAAATCTAGAGTGTTTTTTTTAAGTAAGTAGGGAACAACAATAGTTTGATATACAGACAATTTCCTGATTCACATATTTGATAAAACAGCTGAACAGAGTGTTTGTTATTTTCTTTCTTTTTTCTGTCTTAATGTTGGCAGTTGGCTTTAGGCTGCCCTGCAAGGCTTTAAATCTGGGTTTAAATGGAGACAAAGCCATTCTCAAGCAAATATCAAGGAGCTCATTTTGAGCCTGGATCCATAATTAATTTTGATTCCGTTCATGGTGGAGAATCCTGCTTCACAGCAGCAGGTTGAGCCAAACATCCTCTAAATGTTCGGGCTCCGCTCCGGTCCGGCCAGGTCAAGATCCTCTATTGCAGTCGCACCAAACAGGAAAAAGAACGTCAAATTAAAATACAGTAACAACAGTTCGGTAACTACAAATTAGAGCATAATTCTTATATATTTGAAAAAAGTAACACCGCTTATTTAAAAGATTGGATGCAAACTATTGGTACTTCAACAGACCAGGAAGCAGATTTCTCATCTCCATCAGAAACTGCACATATGCCGGATGCTGATGGGGATTTTATAAATATGTCAGATTAAATTAAAAGTTCATTTCTGAATGTTTACTCCTATGAATTTAATGATAATGTCGCGCATGCTCTCGTCGAGCTCAGAGGATAGGTCGAAGCGCAGCAAGACAGGAGGAACAGCGGAGGCTGTAGGCTTTGTTTTTATGCAGGAGGTCTGGAGCGCAGCGGGGTGGAGAGGAGGCAGAGGATGTTGGCGGCGCAAATGACATTTAGACACTGTCGTCAGACAACATGCGGTAATTTATAAATATTTTAAATCAGGTTGGGTCCAGATTAGCCAGCATGTGGATCCGGATCCGGGACGCTACATGTTTGTGATGGTTATGTCACATAAGCTTTTAGTATCTTATGCTATTTTATTATTTCATACTTTTTATCTTTAAATATAAGGACATGAAATAAAAGGAGCTTAAAAATGAAAAACTGAGAAAAAAAGTAAGTCACTGAATACGTAAAGTAGGTTTACTGAATAAATGTGTGACATAATAATGCTCTATTATGAAATAATTACATTATTCAATTAATAAAAATTTGAATAAATACAAAATCCTGATGGATAATATTAAATAAATACATTAAAATTATTTTAACATATTTTTTTTTATTATTTCAGGGGGATAATGTCATGATTGGTTTAAGACTAAACCCACATGCAGAACACAAACGGAGGCTGAGTAAAAGTTTAACAGAGTTTATTGAAATAGGTTTTCACACAAAGACATGAACTGGTTCAGGTACTGGTCCGGGTTGGGTTCACAGATGTCTGCAGAGATGGACAGTTTGATTAGCCAGGCAGTCAGA